CCCGCCCCCGGCCCCTCCCGCTACCGCCACGCCCGCCGGCCGGCGCCCCTCACAGGTGCCCCGGCTGCCTTGCCCGCCCTGCTACCGTGCCTCCTATACGCCACGTAGCCTTGAACAAATTTTATTTTGGTTCGTCTTATCCTTAGCACCACCCCCCTCCTGGTTGTTTTCATCATAACAATGACGGGTATATTTTTCCAGGCGGGTTTAAAAGGCAACGGTCACTGTTAGACTGAGTCACCTTGCGAAATTGTCTACTCTGCTGTGTCTTCCCCAAGCCAGTCCCACCTGGGCCGTGGCGGGGATGAAGATATCCCTTGATTTGTAGCTTATTTAAAAATCACTAACGAACTTGTCTCTGGTGGGTCCAGAGATTACGATCGTTGACAACTGTAAGCAAGCGGGAGCGTTGAGGGGTAGGTGGGGGAGCGAGTAGTTAGTGGAAAAGTAAAAAGGTAAAGAATTAACTACTATTTGCAAAGCTCAAAAATTTAAGTAAACAACGCAGTATTCTTTCTAGGGGACTTTAAGATCAACAAGAGACCATTCACTGCAAAAGTATTCATTCAAAGTCATTCAATTCTATTCTGCATTCCCCAAACTCACAAATTTCTACTACAATCATAATTTTGTTAAATTAGATTTGGTTCTTTGCTTTCTAGAAAATTACAATTCAACAATCCTAGGATAGCAGGCAAATCAATGTGGTCTCCACTGGTGAAACAAAAGTTAAAACGAACAGCAAGATAGGAGAAAGAAAACTGAATCAGCAAAGGACAACGTTCAATCTTAGAAGATGTATCAAAGGAAAAGGTGTTGCAGTTGCATCATCTTTGCTTTTGTAGAAGTGAGAGCAGTGATGGCTAAAGAACTGACAGTAATGGGTGGGGGGGCTACTGCAAAGTACTGTAGTTGCTTTATCTCCAACTGACAGCAGTCACCTGCATTACTAGAGTGATAGATGGTGGAGATGGCTCTATTGGCAAACCAATGAAACCAACAGCCACTGGTCCAGCAAGAGTACACGTCTTCAAAGATCCATTTCAACCTTAAAATACACCAAGAAGTAAAGTCAACTTTTAAAAATGTTTATTTTATAATAAAACTTATGTAAAGTGGACATAACATAAAAGAGAAAATCTGCCTTTGTTAGTATCACAGCAGGAACAACACATTTTCTGAAAAGGCTTTCAATGACTACACTTTTCTTGTGCTAATAAAAACCAGTTTACAAAAATGTACATGCCAGTTTCCAAGCTGGGATCAACTTCAATAAGTCACAGCAATCACAATGAGAAAACAAGTTAGGTCAAATGACTTTATAGCTGAAGGACTACTCTTCACATCTGTCATCTCTGAGAATAAACAGACCAATATGTGAAAAATCACCCTATTTCTAGTATATTCAAAATATATAATAGAAAATATTCCTCTATGTACTACAACATATACGAAATGACCTGGGATTTTTCCATCTTACATCTGAACATATTTTAAATGTATTTTAAAAGAATCACACTTAAGTCCAGAGGTGATCAACAGCAGGTAGCTTAATTAGCATTTCCAGAAGAAATGAGCTTGAGGGTGGATTCTAGGAGAACGTACATTGGCAATGGCGGGGTTGTGAATATGCTACTGAGCAAAACCTGAAGGTCCATGTAGAGGTGGGGTTACCATAACAGCACAGAAACTGCAGACGGTGGACTTCAGGGGAAAAGAATTACAACCTTTGTAAAGCAACCCATGCCCTGTAGCCCTAGGAGCAGCATGGCTTGTGGTCAACATGCTGTGTTTTCTCCTTCCCCTCTTCAGCAACCACCCCCACCTCTCCTACCCCAAGGGAAAAAAAATCCACACACACACGCACGCACGCATGCACACATGGAAAAAAAAAAGATAAAATACGCAAACATTTGCCTGGTTAAAAAAAAATATAAGAAATGGCAAAAGGGAATGTTACCCAGGGGCAATTTTCCTAAACTATGTGCAGATTCTAAGTTTTTAAACATAGGCCTTTCAGCTGCGGTGTTGCCTCTCCTTCTTCCCTGGGGCTGCTTTCCAGTAATTCATCCTTTAATCCCTTGGTTCTGCCAGTGGGGGCTACGGTCAAACCACACAACCTCCAATATGGGGGACAGGGATGGTTCTGATGACAAATTTCAAGTACCAGTGGAACCCTCAAGTAAAAAAAAAGGCCCAGAAGCACCTGGACATACTTCTTGTTGTTGTTGTGCTCTTGAATAGACTCTGACTCATAGTGACCCTATATGATAGAGTAGAACTGCCTCACAGGGTTCCCTTGGCTGTAATCTTTATTGGAGCAGATCACCAGGTCTTTTCTCCCACAGAGCTACTGGTGGGCTCAAACTGCTGCCCTTTCAGTTAGCAGCCAAGCGCTTTATCCACTGCACTACCAGGGCTAGAAAAAAGAAAAGGTAGGACAGAAGAAATCATGGCTGGGAGTTCCCTTATCAATAATGTACTTCAGACTTCTCATTTTACAGATTAGAAACCAAGATCCAGAGAAGTGGTAAATTCATCACACAGAGCTGGTTTTTGTACAGCCAAGATCAAAACAAAGGTGCCCCTTCCATATTATTTATACCTCTCAAGAGGACTTCTCAAGTCCAAGAATTTAAGGGAGGCTTGGTAAGAAACAAAATAAAAAAAAAGGGAAAGGAGGGAGAGAAGGAGGGATGAAGGGGAGCAGAGAAATCACTGCATAGATGGCATTTAGGAGTTAAGTGGCCACTGATGATTCCCTATCAGAGAAGTGGGACCCAAAGAGATTAACTTGTTTCATTTGATTATTGATCCAGACTCTCCCAAGAAAACACTCACGGCTGTTGATAACCCTTGCAGCTACTTGGAGCTAACTGTATACCTAACAAATGTTTTCATTACTTCATAGTTTATGTCTAGATT